CTTGGTGCGGAGGACCAGGGTGTGTGATCCCCACCTGGCCGCGCCTGCCCCGCCCGGCGGTTCTTTCTCCATCCCGGCCGGCAACTCTGGGTTTCGGGCCACCTGCCCTGTTTGCAGCCTCTTCGCTGCCTCCCAGGGGCGGTGCAGAATTGCACTTACGGAGGGCGATGTGGGGGTGTGTGGGGTTGCGGTGTGTGCTGGGGGAACAGCAGGCAGCCGAGGATTAGACTTTTGCATCCTCTCGGAAAGATCATGAGAGAGGGCTCAGCGCTGCATGTCGGCTGGCACAGTGGGGAGCAGCGCACCTTGATGCGCTGCGTGACCGGCTCTGTTTTCTTTCCTTCCTCGTAGAAACTCGCCTTTTACTCCAAAATGCAAGAAGCCCCGGAGAGCGGCAGCAGCGCCAGCGCCAGCAGCTCCTTCTCCAGCCACCCCGCGGCCAGCATCAAGGAGGAGGACTGCAGCCCCGAGAAGGAGCGACCCCCCGAGGCCGAGTACATCAGCTCCCGCTGTGTCCTCTTCACCTACTTCCAGGGGGACATCAGCGCCGTGGTGGACGAGCACTTCAGCCGGGCGCTCAGCCAGCCCAGCAGCTTCTCCCTCGGCAGCTCGAAGGCGACTCGGAACGCCGGCTCCTGGCGGGGTGGCACCCAGCGCGCGGGGGAGCGCGGGGGGTGGCGGGGTCCCCCTCCGGGCAGGCACCTCGGTCCTCGACATCCCGTCTCCCTCCTTCCTCCCCTCGGCGGCTGGGGCTCGGCGGGCAGCCCCTGGGAGCCAATGTCCCGGGCCGAGAGCTGTCAGCTGCTTGGCCCCTTTAAGGGAAAAAAAAGAATAAAGCCCTTCAGTTCATGCCGGACCGCAGTGGACCAGGGGGAAGCAGCCTGGGAGGTGGAATGGGGAAATGAACTTTCTTTACACTGCAGGTGCTTTACCTGGAAGGGGCTACAGCCAAAACAGTTATGAAGTGACCCTTGCACTGTGACTGTGCAGGGGATGCCCTGTTGATGCTAGCTTTCAGTTCAGTGTGGTCATAATGATGGGAACAAAGCAAAAAGCAAATGTGGGACCCATCTCATCATCTTCCCACCTCTGAAAAACTAACTGTGTTTGTCCCCATATTTTGCCCTGCATGTATCACCACTCTGATTGCTGCTGGAGGAAGATCCCTAAATTTCTGAAAATGAAGGGTTCTAGACCTGCCTATGGCTGTGGCCATATGCAGTTAAGGTTAAGGCCAGGGCTTATGCACAGCTGATTCACTCTAGACAGGCCTAGAGGTACCCAGGGCAGAAGGGAGTAACCTTCCCCATCCTCTCTCCACCAGAGAGTTAGGGCTGGCACTTCTTTGTTGGCAGTTTTGGTAACTCTCCCTCACAGGGCCACCTGCTCACCCAAGGCTGGTTTCCCAGCCTCTGTATGAATTACTGTCAGTAATGTCTAAGAATGAAATAGTTTAAATAATTCCTGTGTGAAACATATTCAACTGATGGCAGGAAAAGAGTGGTTTTGCTCATCATCAACCTCTTCCCCTTCTACTGAGTAATGCCAGGGCTCAGAGCTAACATACTCCCTGGCAAATGTGTATCAGGAGCATGGTTTTATTTATTTCTTTTGGGAACCATGTACACTCTCAATTAATCATGCACAACATCTACCTATACTATTAATAATCACCAGTCCATCTTGTGTGTTGCTTACTGGGCTAAGAAAATGTAGGGTCCTTGTCCTTTGCCCTGCCTTCCAAATATCTCCAAAGGTCTACAGAGTGCTTCCCAAACATGTTGACTGTATACCTAAGAAACAGACATAAGTCTGGTATAATAGGTGGACAATTGCCCCCAGAAAATTAAGGAAATTCAAGCTGGCCTTTAGTCAGCTCTCACTGTTCCTGACCACTTTGAAACTGCACTGAGGCAGCAGCTGCTTTCCTGGAGGTGTTGGACATAAACGTTTATACAAGGAGATTATTACAAAAACAAACAAGAAAAGTCCAGCCCTGAAAATTTCAGTGGCGTATAATAGCTCTCACTCAGTTTCCACTATGGAAGTGATGTTTCCCTCACCTTAGATAACAGCCTTTTGCACACCTACATACTAAGAGAAACCTGGAGCAAATAGTTGCACCTTCAGGGATAAGCCATAGCCTAGGTGTGTTGGATGTTAAGCTGGAGAGGAATCTGTGTTTGTTTGCAGCAAGTTCTTGTGTTTGGTAGCTTTTCAGGGAATAAAGGGAATGCAAGGTTTGCTTTAGTTGGATCAGGGAGGGACAGAGGCCTAGGGAAAGGTGATCAAGGCTTGCTGGGTGTGCTCATTGCTGACTTTCTCTTCCGCTTCTTTCACCCAGATGGCTCCTTCCCAATGAGCCAGCGCATCTTCCCGCCGTCCTTCTGGAACAGCACGTACCAGCCCTCCTCAGTCCCAGCCAGCCTGAGCAGCCCCCTGGCAGCTGCTGCCCACAGCGAGCTGCCCTTCGCCGCCACCACCGACCCCTACGCACCGCCTCCCTGCATGGCCACCTGCACCAAGGGTGGCCCTGAGCCCTGCACCATAGCCCACCAACCAACACCACCACCACCGACACCCCTACATTGATGACACAGAGCACTGCCTACCCTCGCCCCGCCACCATGCACGAGGTCTACGCCCCCACTTGACCCCCGCTAGACGGCTTCCCTTCTGGTGCCCACTGCCTCCGTCCGCCCCCACCGCCTCACCCCCGCCTCCGTGTCCACTCCAGTCAGTCCCCCCTGTGAACTGGGCAAGAGCGAAGCGGGCGCTGCTGCAGCCTGGACGACACCGGGCCCTTTCCCCAATGCAGCAGGAGACATGGCACAGAGCATCAGCCTCAATGTTGACACAGGTAACGAGCTGCCCTTGGTGCCTACAAGTTCCCTGAGTCAGCTGCATCCCTGCTCCCTGACTCCACACCATCCATAGAAGTAGGGAAGGACCACCCTGGGGGGGGCTGGGATGCTGCTGTGGGAGAATAAATTGGGGGTGGAGGCCCCATATACAGCACCTGAGCTCTGTCCTGAGTGTTCTTCTTGGGGTT